TAGGATAGTTTGTGATGTAGGCAAACTAGAAAGAAAAGTCAAGATAGGAGAACACTTGGACAATAGAAACCAAACTCGATTCAATCTAGATTGCGGACATTCAAACAAACAGCAAAATAAACGAAAAGTCAGGCAAACGAAACAAAATTATAAAATAAAAACACTATCCTCAGAACAATCAGTAAGCGATTTCCTCATATGCAACGAAAAGTAGGTAAAATATGATAAGTGTTTAGGGCTTACAAACCAAGGATTCACTACAGCAACAAAGTCCAACGTCCAACCAAACTCCTCCAGCAAATGTCACCAAATTATGCCAACAAACACCTCCAATAGCTCAAGAAGAAGGATAAAAGTGGAGTGGAACTTGCATAAAGAAGAAGAGATTAGAAGCCAAGACGAAATAGAGAGGAGGAAGAGAGGATTGGAACAAGCTATTAAGCTTTTCCAAGAAAGGAGAAGAAACCCTCAGGTTTTCATAAACTTTTCTCAAGATAATCAACAACCTTATCATGACAAAACATCTCTAATTTATAAGAGAGAAAGGGGCAGCCAAACAGCCATTTCACCTCCATCTAAACCAAAAAAAGGGCCATAAATAATTCCAAAACAGCACAGAGAATCGGGTAAAGTAGCCACGGGAAAGGAACAGGCGCCCAGGGAATCGAAACAGCCCAGAGGAAACAGCAGCCAGGGAGAAACCGAGGGGACACAAAGAAGAGGAAAAGACAAGGTTCCAAACTCCACATAATGAGCTTTCAAGTGCAATAACTCCACCAAATAATGAGCTAAACATTAGCTCAAGAAATAATGAGCTAGAACAAGTAGCTCCCAACTTTTCAGCTAAAAATTAAAGCAACCAAGGCCCAACCCGAGAGCAACCAAAGCCTAACCCGAGAGGCAGCAAGCAGCACAAAGACCAAAAGAACTGATGCTATCAAGAATTTATGTACTTTTTATTTTATTTGAACAATAGTATATTTTGTTTTCTATTTTATTTTCTTTTCTTTTTTAGCTATCCAATGATGGGAAAGCATCCAATGATCATGGTAGTCTCCATCATTGGATAATAAAAAACATAAAAAAAAATTATAATATTCAAATAATAATAAAACAAAAATAACTGAAATAATGCATACATCAATTCCCCCCATGTGGGAGAATCTCATCTCCTGATGAGAAGGCTTCAGTAACTTTTTGAAAAAGATTCGGATGATGATTTTTTAGCTCAATAACATCCATCCATGTACAGTCTGTCAAGGGACAATTTTTCCATTTAGCCAAGAATTTCTTCTGCTCGCCATGTCTAGTCTTAGTAACTCTGATATCAATAACATCTTCGATCTGATCATCATTGTTTAGAACAGATGTGGAGAGTGGAAAAGTTTTAACTTCCACTGTATCATCAGAATTTCCTTTATACAAATAAAGATCAAAAACATTAAATACAGGAGAAGTGTCAACAGTAATAGGAAGATCCAAGAGATAGGCATTCGTGCCCAACTTTCATAGAACACGAAAATGCCCAAAATTTTTTCCTACTTAATTTTCCAAAAGTACAAAAAAAAATCGTTGGCGACAAAAGTAAGACATGACCAAATCTCCCTCCTTAAATAAACTAACCTCCGATGTTTGTCAGCAGCAGATTTATATTTAACATTAGTCATTCGGAGTTTTTCAAGGACTTGCTATTGGACAGTTTTAATATGGTCAAAAGTTTCAGTAGCTTCAGCACTAATTTTATTAGGCAATGACAAACAATTTATATCTAAAATGTGAGGTATAGACTTAGCATAAATAATCTCAAATGGAGTTTTACCAGTGGAGCGATTAACAGAATTATTATATGCAAACTCAGCTTGGGGCAATATTATATCCCATTGGGATGATTTCTCACCAGCAATGCATCTTAGTAAATTTTCTAAGCTTCGATTGACAACTTCAGTTTGTGGATGATATGCACAACTACACTGAAGAGTAGTTTCTATTTTTGCCCAAAATGTTCTCCAAAAATGATTCAAAAATCTAGTATCCCTATCAGAAGTAAATGTACGAGGAATATCATGAAGACGAACAATTTCCCACTTGGTTAGATAGTGGAGAAAAATATAAATACACTTGATTTTGAGAAGCTTAGAGATGCTCAAACCGATGCATGCATTATTTCAGTTATTTTCTTTTTATTGTAATTTGAATATTATAGTTGTTTTTTTATGTTTTTTATGCTATCCAATGATGAAAAACATCCAATGATCATGAGTAGGTAGTGCTTGGGCATGGCAAGCCTTGGGTGTGCTAGCTTCTTGGGTTCTTTTGGTCTTTGTGCTGCTTGCTGCCTCTCGGGTTGGGCCTTGGCTGCTCTCAGGTTGGGCCTTGGCTACCATATATATATATAACAAGCATTTATCCTACTAGGTGAGGTCGGCTACATGAATCGTTTTTCTCCATTTTGTTCTATCAAGAATTAAATTTTCATTTAAATCTAATAAAAAATATTATTTTTAATACTATCTAACACAGTCTTTTTAGGTCAACCTCTAATTTTCTTGACATAGGCTGGATCTAATAAATGTACTCGCTTAACATGGTCATTGGAAGGCCGACATTTTATGTAACCAACCATCTAAAAGGTCACTCTCTCTAATCTTATCTGTCATTGGAGCTAAAACAACCTTTTTCATATATATACTTATTTCACATTCTAAGTGTAAAGCCACTCATCCACCTGAGCATCCTCATCTCTATAATAGTTAACTTAATTTTATGCTTCTCTTTTAATGATCAACAGTCTGCGCCATAAAGCATTGCAAGTCTCGCCAACACCATCTTATCAAAAATTTTCCTAAAGTTTGAGGGGTACTTTTCTATCACACAATAGGCTCAATGCATTCCTCCACTTCAATCATCCAATTGAATGCTACTAATAATATCTCCATCTATTTCACCATCGTTTTGAACAATAAATCCGAGATATCTAAAATGTGCACATGATTCTAAAAAAATGTGCAGATAAAAAGTTCTGCAAATAGGCGTGTTCTTTCTTATCCGTCTTTTCAAGAAGGTATTATAGCAATAATTTTGGAGGATCAATAGTTACCTAAGTGTGACAGATTTAAATGCTTTACCAAAAAATGAGACAATAAAAAGTGGATAGAAATTGTTTAATGGGGATTCAAGGGAGGAATATCCGGGTATTCTGTGATAAAAGAACATTATGGAGGCATAAAGATAAGCCACATGAACTGATTATAAGAATAGCTATCTTGTATGGATTGGGCGTTGGAAAAAAAAAACTAATGACAGTTAAGTGTAGTAAAAAAAGGATATGATGAGATGACTCTACAGTAATTTCACAAGGAGTTAATAAAAATGGCTTCTATTGACGATGATTTCACAGGTTTGTACAATATAAGGATGAAGATGCACTAATAACATGACTAGATAATATCAACTTGAAGAAATAGGAAGAGAAGTGGTGCACAAAACCTAACTCCACTGAGTTATGAAACAGACTTGCATAAGTTCAAGTTCAGAAATTATGCAATACGCAATATAAGTAAATGGAGAAGAACTCGGAAGGACAAACCAAATAATTGGGATAACACAATTGATGACGAGACTACGGCATTAAAGTAAAAGCAACTTGCAAAATACATATGATTGATCTGAAATATCCACCCAAAAGGAAAACAATGGTTTTGCACCTTTATTTTCTTTGACATCAGCATTCTCAAGCAAAGAAAATTTTATCTTTATATATTTTAAATTACTGAAAATCTTTTAGGTTCAAGGCAGACACCACCATTTACTTAATCTAGGATTCTCACGACCATGCATAATCAGAAAAGATCATGTCAACTTCTCAGATTCTACACCATGAAAAATATAGCAAAATGTGAGATGGTTGATGAGAACATTAATTTGCTATAATTCTATTCAAATGTGATAATTTCACTGACCATTCACACAGTACTCTTCAGGAATAATAGAATCACAAACCAAACCAGAAACACCAACAAACTTATTAATCTAAACTTGCACTGCTGATCCAAAGCAATCATTCACAGCTAATTTAACCCCTCTGTAAGCACCCTTTATACTACATTATTTTCAACGTTTGGATCTGACCATCGAGTTGAAAGCTGTGATGAAATCAATACCAAAAGCTCAAGGAGCCACATATTAGCACTAAATAGAAACCCAAATTGTATCAAATTTTACTAATCACAATCTCACTTTCAACCCAATAACGAAAACTACTGGATGAAGAGAGAAAAAAGGGAAAAAAAATAGAAAAGACTTCAGGAAAAAAAAGCATCATACTTATACTAGGAGATCACATGCCTTGGAATTCTATAAATTTCTCATTTAACTGAGGAATTAAATCCTGGAAACCATCTTCAAATTTCCTCCAGAAAAAAAAAAAAGAGTATCGTATATGCCCCAAATCCCTAATTATAATTAAAAGCCTCTTCTACCTACTTAAAGACTGCAGACCAATTGCAGAAATCTTTCACCCAAGTGACGCCAAAGGCTAAGGCATATTGCATCCGTGTATACTGAAACAGAGGAGCCAAAACAGAGTTGTGGATTCCTAAAGAAGCCGTCAAAATCAGGAAACCTAAAGAACGAAGGATAATCAAAAAACAGGGGAGCAGGGAATAACAAAGGAAAAGCTCAGAAAAGGGGAATCAGGGAAAAACCAGGCAAGCTGCAGATTGCAATTGTGAAGAATCTCATACTGCTATAGTCCCAAAAGACTCTTGACAGCAAGGAACCCACATCGGTTACACCTTAATGCCCAGAAGGATGCTAACACCAAATTTCAGGGGGAAAAAAAGGCCAGACGCACTAGATATCTCACCTGCTATTGAAGCTCTAGTGCTGATACTCTAGAAGGATAGCATATCAACTCCGACAAAAAAGGAAAGGAATTCAATTCAATTTTAAAAAAAAAAAATTAAAAAAAAAAAAAGGATAACGGAGGTAGATGTCCTTACAGGAACTTCAACTTTAAGAAACATGTTGGCTCCTCTTCGAGCATCAATCAAAGCAATATCCTGAGGAGTCGAGACAATCACGGCACCTGACATATAAACGTAAGTGAAAAATACAAAGCATAACAATCAAATATAGATAACAGCTTCATAAGTATATTTTAGGAAACATAGCCTATAAAAAATTTGCAAGGACATCAAACCATGTTACTGCTAAAGCAAGAGAAGGAGCACATAAGTAGTCGAGAAGATGAGATCAGCCTTAGTGAAAAGTCAAGTTAAGTCTCATGAAAAAGCTCTAAGAAAAATGACACATAAAGAATGTTTATTCAAGCTGTAAACATTATAGAGTGGGTCTAAAACTGGTTCTAGAAATGATTAGATTATTCCGTCCACTTAACAGCAGCCCAACAGCTGAGCAAGCTTATCAACATCACCAGCATAGAGCAGTCAAGAAAGCAAGAAATGATTAAGCATTTTAGAATAAGTAATAGAACCAGCAAGAAAATTAGGGTCAAGCATGCATGCTTTAAACTAGCACACCAAAACCAGCAACCGAGCTAATAGCAAAAAAACCAACAAAAACATAAATCAATATAGAAAAGGAAACATTTATGGCTTCATTTAGAAATTGCCCATAAGATTGGATTTTGATAGGAGCTTATGACTTTCATTTGAAAGTAGTCCTAATAGTGGGTCTTATGACCTCTATTAGAAATGGCCCAAATTACGGGTCTTACAATTTACTCCTATAGACTAAGATGCCCATAAGTTTTGGATGTTTAGATAGGTCTTATGGCTTCTGAATTCAGAAGTTACCTGATGACGGGTCTTATAACCTAACCCTGTAAGCTAAGTGGCCCATATGGTGGGGCTTAAAAACTAATCCTATAGACTAGGATGCCCGTTAGAGGTGGTTAGGATTATGTTATTACCTAAACATTTTGCTCAGAAGTCGGACCTACGACTTCTATTACAAGTTGTTGGGATATTTTAGGTTGTTATTACTTCACTTAACAAATATATACATAGTGAAATAATTTTTGATAGGATTTACTACTCCTATTAGAAGTAACCTGTAGGGCTCAGATTAGTGAAGACGTAGCTTTACATACTTTCCTATCTAGACACCCGTTCTAGTGTTTCGTAGCAGTGTTCGTAGCTTTTTACATCAATAGTAGCTTTACTTGCTAGTTTTTTTTTTTACTTTCCACCACTGGTTCTGCTTACAGTAGTTAGCATTACTTGCTAGTTTACTTTTTACCTTCGAGCATTACTTGCTAGTTTACTTTTTACCTTCGAGCATTAGTTTTGCTCTGTTTAGCTAAAGCTTTACATTACCGGTTATATTTGATATTAATGTTATATTTGTTTGCTTGCATGTACATTGTACTTGCAGTAGCTCAAAGAATTCACAGATAATTGTAAGGGCTACTACTAAGAGTATTGTTTGGAAGTTTGTTGAGTCGTTTAGAGAGTTATTTGAGGGTTTTGTTTTGTTCAGAGCTTTTGTGAGAGTTACTTGCTGGAGAGTTGCTTAGTAGCTTGTATTAGGTTGCATAGTGAAAATAATTTATTTCCAACATTTTCAAATGAAAGTCGTAAGCCCCTACCCAAATTCAATCACATGAGCAACTTCTAAATGAAGTCATAAGTCCCTACCCAAATTAAATAACTAATATATATATGATGAGGACATCAGATTTCGACACGTGTACCATCACCGGAGATGCAGATCGATGGCTACGATCCAGATCCTCTACTTCTGATTTATTAGCATTTTATTTTATGCTTGTATTTTTTGCTTCCCAGTTTGCCCCTGTGGGCATTGAGTCGCTTATGTAGCCCGGAAGGGCATTTGTGTCATTTCATTTCATTTCATTTTGGCCTACTTATATGAGGCCTCATGCATTGTAATGAGTAGTTGATGATTAAATGAAAAGCTTTTGCTTCTTGATGATCTCTTTGTGAGTTCAACCCACCTCGATCTCTTAGTGAGTTCGTCGGAGAGGATAGATCTCTTTGTGAGTTCTAGATTTTTGCCCAACTATTTTTGTCTTCAAGAGTTCTAGATTTTCGCCAAGCTATTTTTGTGGAGATCCAGATTGAAGATAATTGAGGTGAGTGGATTTGTAGCAAATCGAATCCCTAGAAAATTCTCCTCCTCCCTTCCCCTTGCTCCTTGCCGCCGCCTCCCCTTGAACCGCCCAGGCCGCCAGCCTGCAAACCCCCACCTGCCGGCCAGCACCCGGCCAGCAGCCCGCCGGCCGCCCACTGGACCCCTTGACGCCGGCCCCCTCTAGCTCTCCCCTTTGAATTTCGAATTCCCCTCTCTTAATGACTTTCCTAATTAAGCCATATTAACATTTCTCGGTGATATACGTATTAAGAGGAGTTATCCACCTACGCATGATCCCACACACATTTTCTGAAAACGGCAATATTGTTCCATGTTAGGCAGAATGTTGTTCTGTACCTGAAATTAACCCTCGGTGGTGCTTGATAATATATTACAAAATTCCATTTCCCTCTGGGTCCATTATTTTCCAACTTTGTGAGATTTGGCTGGACGTTAACTCGCAAATTTAATTTTGAAATATCATAGAATTCCCTTCGTTAAATAGTTAATTATGCCTTCTGATTAAAAGTTTGGTGGGTCCCCGACCATCGCCAATCCCTTACTCAAAATTTGTGCATTCTACCCTCACTCTCCAATGTGGCGCCGTATTCGAAGAGCTATTCCACCTTTAATGGGTTGTTTTATCTCGCATCCCTGCACTCATGGACTCAAAAAAATTAAAAATTATTAAAAAAGCTGCCTTCTCGCTATCACAAAAATTCCTATGCTCTTCCTCCAAATTACCGCCTCCTCAAATTAATAATCGCTGTCTCACAGCTCACTCGTACCTCAAATCTTGAACCAGCAGCGAAATTGAATTTCGAGTAACTTTTCTATAAGTTAATCTCCCCTCAAAAAACCAGCTTGAGCACCGATTGAATTATTTAATTCCAATTTTTCTTGCAAAAAAGCTCTCCCTCGCAAACCCTCAGCATCTAAAATGCTTCACAGAGTGAGCTAAACACTGCAATCCTACACTATCTGGCTTGCTTAAGCCGTAAGCACCAGAGTTGAGATCTCTGTCCAGTTATTTCTACGCTAAGCCTTAGATCTCTTTCCTGCCTAGTGACCATCTTCCTATTTGTTCCAACGTGTCCTGTCGTCACTCATTCCCTGCCCCGACATATGGATGAAATCGACAATTGGCAGATGAACCGAAAACTCGATCTAAACATTTTGTAACTTATGTGCCATGACGTCCCTTTGTAGGTCCTGTGGGGACTTTAGTACTTTTTTGACTCTTTCCTGAGAAGCCCGACCACCCCTTAGCCGTTGAAAACTAATCATCGAGACCGAGTAGAGAATCCAAATAGCCTTAGTTTGACGTGATCGAACGAGAATGAGAATCAAAAGGGAGTGGGTCTACTATTTAGACGGACCTTTGCAATCGCCGCTTCCCTCGCACACACCTAGCTTCCGGGCCCACTTCTTCATACCCTCAAACGAATCCCGCAGGTACCGAATCCTTATGGTTACCTTCTTCCGTTGCACGAGCAGTGACCTTAACTTCATAACAGTGTGCAAAGTACTCTTACTGCTCCTCAAGCCGCTCAATAAGCTAGCCTATTGTCGAACTTTCAGTGGATTGAGGGCTCCAAAGGTGAATAGCTGCTCATTATTAAATCGTTGATTCCTTGTTTTATCCTCGGGAGCTATTACAATTTACGTCCTTGTGCGTTTTCCCATCACGAAATGATCTTTGGTTAATCGACTTGCGCTCTTCTTTTGCCTAGCAAAAGTTAACAGCGACTACAAAAATCCCACGGAGACATTCTCAGTCGTTTGTCCTATATTATAGTAGCTACACTTATAAGCTCTCTCTGGTGAACCACCTTTGTTAATCATCCGTTTTACTAATCATTTATGACAAGGTAACTCACTTGTTTGTGAGTGCAACTCAGTACTCAATTATCTAATATGTGCAATAAATAATAATATATATATTAGTTAATATACTATATTGGATTTAGGTATATAACTAATAAGCTAATACCTTTAGTAAGCACCAAATACCACAATTAAGAGAGTATATAGGTACCGGCAAAATATACGTAAGCGTATACTATAATCTATCACTTATTATAAGGCATAAACCCTAAACCTCGAGATCTCTAAGATGAAGCAACCCATGACTGCTAATCAGATTCCCTGGACACTACGATCAATAGTCGTTAGTGTTGAAAGACTAAATCCTATAGTATTCCCTGAATGATGGAACTATGAGATTTTGATCTGGCCTACCTTCATCCCCCACAACCAAGATTTAAAACATGCACAAACTGTTGCACACATATGTGCACTTCATGCACAAACTAAATATATTTTATCATTAATCAAGAGTTCTCTTCTAATGCATTAAGAGGGGTAATTAACTATGAGGGCTTACACTCATAGGAAGTAGGACCCAGATCTAAATAAACCCTGACACTATTCTTAGGAGAAATCTAGTTAATTTAAAATTCAATCTACCAAGGAAAAATAAGGACCGTAAGCTTGTAAGAGCGAGGTTCGCATCTATTACTCTTCTTGAGTGACCAATGTCGTGCACTTCGCAAAGAAAATCTAGCCCATATAACCCAGTGCTCCAAGTGACACTATAGGCAATCATCGTGCTTCTAACACTCGGTAGAGATAGGGTTGCATTTTATGTCACTCCAATACAAAAATGGATGTTTTTTGCCCATATAATAATATTGGTATCAACATGCTAAAGATTTTTTATATAAGAAGAATCAAAAAACAAAGAAACTAAACTTAATAAAAAAAACCATCCAAAAAATAAATTTGATCTCTCAATCTAAAGAGATTGTTAATAGGGAAGTTGATGGGAACACGTAAAAGAATGATGGATTGCATAGAACATAGCATTAGAGAAAAGTGTTAAGAGCATTGAAAGAAATAACAAAAAACCTTGGATCACAACATAACCCTTTTATTAAAGAGTAAAAGTTCAAAATAGTCCCCCGACTA